ACCTGCCCCACTCACCGTGAAACTCGTCAAGGCGGCGGGGGCATCCTTCAAAGCCGGCGGATACCGCTCCTTCCAGAACTACTACACGCAGGCTCGACAGGAACACCGACGACTTACGGGCGAAGACCCCGCAGCCGACATCGAGCAGGCCATCACCGACGTCAGCCGGTCGATCCGACGGGCACAAGGACCCACACCGTTTAAGGACTCCTTCCAACTCGAGCTCCTGTCGGCCGATCAGTTCCCCGTGGACCAGGACGACGGCCTTGACTCCATCGCCTACGCCCGCGACGTCACCATCATTGGCTGCTGGTGGCTACTTCGGGGACTCGAAGTCGCCTCAGCACAGGTACACCATCTGTGGACCCAACAGACAGCGCTGGGTAAGCGCACATACCTCACACTCCCCATCCAGAAGAACGACATAACTGGCATGTGCGTGACCAGATCTCATCCGTGCACCTGTCCAGCACTGTCCCGACTGTGCCCACATCATGCAGCACAACGTCACATGCGACGACTACATCGACACCTGGGACGCACTCCACCGGGCGACTACCCACTGTTCCCCGGACCAGACGGACAAGCCATCCCCAAGGCAGACGTCATCGAGCTCTTCCGCAAGGTCATCGGACTCACCGGAACTATCCTTACCCGGACCGATCCCAGCGGCACCTTGCGACAGCGATTCCATGAACACGTATGCCGAGTGTCGGGCGCCCAGTTCCTGACACGACTGGGCTACAACAAGGAGACCGTACAACTCGTCGGCCGATGGGGATCCGAAGCAGTGGCCCGCTACATCCAGGAGTCCAACCTCGATCGACCACCAGTGGCGCATTCCCAGAAGGAACTCCAATACCAAATCGAGGACGTGGTCAAACGGCACATTGCCGTGTTGCATAACACCTTTTGGGTCGTCAACACCGACTCCAACAAGGCACATCTGCCAGCAACTGACGAGGACTGCATCAACTCAGCTATGTGGACCACGCAATGCGGATGGAGGTATGCCACCGGCCGCTACAAGAAGATCCGCACCAAGCCGACCAACAACCTGTGCGGATCCTGCTTCAAGTTCGCCACACAGGCCGACCTCGATGAGCTCTCAGACCTAGGCGATTGATACCAGGAGCCTGAAAAGCGGGATCGCCGGTCGTTGCTACTTCGTTTTGGGGGGGCCCTTCCCTTTTCCCTTTGTTCTCACCCCCCCCTCTAAGGAACGGCCTTGGTAACCCAGCTTGGATGACACTTTGATTCCTGAGTCCACCGCGCTGAATTAGGCTCCATTTTAGGCCCCAACGGCACATCCAATGTGCCCGCGAACACATGGCGGCTCCCCCTTCACTTGATGACATCCTGACCGAAGCGGGATTCGCACATGACGAGGTGTTAAGATCATACCTTCACCACATACGGGTGCGGTCAGTTGACGCTCTCGCCCACATGTTCGCCGATGGCGACGCACTGAGCACGTGGGTAACCCGTTTCACGATAGCAGTCCAATTCGGCGACCCACAACAGACCATGCACCTTGGCACCAACGACTTGGTCCTCGGTACCACGGCATCACTCACGGCAGCCTGGGTACGCTGTCGCAATGCACAGCCCCCTGTACCAGCTCCAGGGACACAAACCGCCCCAGCCGCGGATCCCAAAGTTCCCAAGGAACTCCCACAGGGCGTGTACGCGGAACTCCTACGCCAATACAATACACAGACAATCAACGGCAACAACCGCAAGTTCCCAGAGGAGGTCATCCTCGGAGCCGACCGCGCCATCGCTCGCATGTGGCACGAACATCACAAGAGCAAGCATTACACCGCCCCATCGTTGGGAGAGATTCTCACCCAACGGACATTCACAGCCATGGGCACAATCAACAATTCAGCCAAGGACCGTAAGAGCGAACGGACCCTCACGCTCGATTCCAACAACACGCTGGTCGAAACCACGCCCAGAGACTGGGACCCACAGAACCTGATGATGATTCTCGACGGGTTGGAGGCCATTCGATGGGCATGGACCTTCATCCAGATCGGGGACGAAACCGACATCAACGAATTCATTGACAAATTCTGCCGCATCACCCGTCAACACCAGCAGCGCTTGCTCCAAGTCAAAGACTCCTGGGAAACCTTCACATGGCAACTGGCCATGAAGATGCGGTCGGGGGCCACCTTCAGCAAAGCTACCAAGGAACTACTGGCCGACACGACCACGATGAACGACATCCTTTCGCAACCAGCCAAGAAACAACCACGGACAGAGACCCGACGTCCACAGAACAACAGTAACCAGTATCGGCAACCCAAGGGCAGAGGCAAGCACACCTGGGGCAACAAAGGGTACCAGACCACTTCGTACCCATACAACAACCAGCCATACGCGACCTGGGGACCAACCCAATTCGCCAACCGCCATCCCCTCGATGCCTACAACCCCAGGACCCTCGTTCAAGGGCGACACACCCAAAGGAAAGAAGGGGTCCGGGAAAGGCAAGAAAGGCACCAAATCCCACGGGAAAAACAAGGCGCGTTAGGGACAGCACGGCCCAGGGGACCAGTCCCCTGGAGCCGACCCGGCGCGTTGCCTCCATCTTACCAGACAACTCATACAACACCAGCCCATTATCCTGATCTCAGTTTTCGACGGGATCGGCACAGTGTCACTTGCCCTGCACCAACTGGGCGCCAACGTCTCCCACTGTTTCCGGTGGGAAACCGATCAGTCCTGCAATCAGCTACCTCATTCACTCTTCCCCACGACGCACATGGGCGCCGTAGAAGATTTTGACATCGAACAACTGGCTGCGATCATCCAGGACATACCCAATCACGAGAGACACATTATCCTCTTCACCGGTGGCCCACCGTGCAAGGACTACTCCAACATTAAACGACACCAACCGGGCCGGGCTGGCTCACAGGGCGGCCTCTTCGACACCGCACTCTCCATCCGCGACGACATTCAGAACAGATGGCCACATCAATCGCTCACCCTGCTAGAGAATGTCGTGCCTCACCCCGAGGTACGCGACGACTTCGACCAGCTGTCCCACTCCATGGGCCTACGCCCAGTCCTGATCGACGCGGCCGACGGCCAAATCATCTCTCGTCCCAGAATCTGGTGGGCCTCGGTCGATTGGGAATCCTTGCCTGCCACATTGAGCAGGCATACACCTTGGCAACTCTCCCTCGACACTCAGCTGTTCCCACCGGTGCTCTTCAATCCCATTGCAGCCGAACTACAACCAGACTGTCACATCCGGGACTTCGACCCGCCGAGTGTCCTAACACACGGACAACTCTTCCACTGCCTTACCCCCCAGGCCAGTACGGACGAAGGCCGCCCACCACCACGCAGCCAACAACTACCAGACGACACATGGCAACGGTGGCAAGCCGACCACAAACAATTCGCCCCGTGGCAATACCAACAGAAATACCTGGTCCGGAAACACGGACACGACTGGCGAGTCGCAACACCCGAGCACCGCGAAGCAATGATGGGATTCCCGCGCGGCTGGACGGGACCACACAACACCGACCGGACCAGGAACACCATGCTGGGAAACTCCTGGCATGTGCCCACAGCCATGTGGATCCTATTCCTTTTGCTACTACAGCCAGCCTTCGGAATTCCCCCGCCCACGCAGCGGGTACGTCGCGGATCCCTCGGAATGATGGTCGACCTCTGGCTTCACAACCCACGACCATGGGGACCACCTCCGAGAGCATCGGAAACGCTACATATGCCACAGAACGACTGGCAGGACCACTTGACCTGGGCCAAACACCACGCTACCTCGCTGCAACAGC